ACAAGGCAGGGAACAGCACAGGACGGAGCACTCGGCCCTCTGCAGGGCGCATTGACACAGGCAATCTGGTAACTCCAGTTAACATCAGCATGTTTCTGGACTGTGGGGGAAAACCCCACAATGACAGGGGGAGAAACATGCACACTCCACATACACGGAGCCACGGCAGAGACTCGGACCCTGGTCCCAGAGGTATAAGGCAACAGTGCCAAACACTGCACCACTGTGCCACCCCTAGCAATCAAAATATACAAGAACCAAAGAAGTGCAGTTAGGCTTACATGGCATCTCTGACATGCTCATAGTGTCTGAATGCGGGTTGTGTCGCATGTCTGTGGCTGACTGGTTATCTCACTTCAGACACGCCATATGCTCCCTAACGCTGCTCAGAATAAGTGACTGGAAGCTGGATTGAATGATTTTCATCTAACATTATCATTTCATTCTATACTATTTTATTTTTCAAAAAAATTCCTAAAACAAATAACCCTGCTGTCTCCCAGGGTTTGTAGCCTTCTTACCCCCCAAGCAGAAGAATATCCCATGGCTCTGCTGTGCATGGAGTATGTCTGGAGTATGTCTCGGCAAGATCGGATGCTGAACGGCATCCGCTGAAGAAATAAAAGTGTAAATGTGATGTGTATGAGGTGCTGACTCTGGCCATCTGTGGGTAACATTCCACTCACACCCAGGATATGTTGATGAAGCCCCTCGAAAGCAGGGCGCAGTTTGGAATGTAAGGTGGGTCACATGACATCTCTTCCTTCACAGCACTGTCAAGCTAAAAGAAAATGGACTTTTTTTGCATCTGCTTTAAGAAGGTCATTATGAATGAATGAATGAAAGTTACATTTATATTGCGCTTTTGGAAACACCCAAAGTGCTGTGCAGAACCAATGGGGAGCCACTTCAGCCACCACCACTGTGCAGCACCCAGCTGGATGATGCGACGGCAGCCATTCTGCACCAGTACGCTCACCACAGAGTAGCTAAGGGGCAGGAGAGAATTCACCAGTTAGATACAGGGGATGATTAGGAGGCCAGATCTGATAGGGCCACAGTGGGCAATTTTAGCCTGGACATCGGGGTACCACCCTTACAGTTTCGAAAGATGCCCAGGAATATTTTATGACCTCAGAGAGTCAGGACCTCAGTTTTTACGTCTCATCCGAAGGACGGAACCATTTTTACAGCATAGCGTCCCTGTCACTGCACAGGGACACTGGGATCCACACTCACCACAAGATGTGTTTCCCCTGTTAGCCACAGTGACCCTGTCACTGCACTGGGATCCATGCTGACCACAAGATGTTTCCCCTGTTAGCCACAGTGACCCCGTCACTGCACTGGGTGGTGTTTGGGTTAGCATGTTTGTTTTACTTTGTTTTGGCGTCTGGTACACCAATCACCCCGTTTGTGATGCCCCTAAGGATCACTGAAGAAAATCATGATGTCCATAGTAACGGAAAAAATACCACTGAGCAGAGAAACCAGCCGTGGGACCTTGGCAGTAGCTCAGTGGGCTAAGCTGCTGTGCTTATGATCAGAAAACTAGTGTTTTGAGCACTGGCCTTAGTGGAAGAGTCACATGTCTGTGGGCCCTTGACTGAGGCCCTTAACCCCCAGCTGCAGTGGTGCTCCACGCTAGCTGACCCTGCCCTGTATAAAGTACATGTAGATCTCCTTTGGAAGACCTCATGGGCTTACTACACCTTTGCAACAGTCCTCATTACAACCGTCTTGTAACTCGTTTTAGGGCACATTTTTGCTAACCAAGGTACAGCTCTGTATTACTAAGAAAGAAAGAAAAACATTGATAATGCTGAAAATCTGCAGCAAGACATGTTATATTTCATAAGCACTAACCAACTAAAGCCATGGAGGAACTTATGTTAACTGGTCAGTTCCAGGCCCAATATTATTTTATTTCCTAGATCTATGTACTTGCACTTGTCTTTAATGAGCTTCATCTTTCTTTATCCAAATTCAACTTCATATTTAGTCTTCACACCTTTCCTTTAGTTTATCATCTTTACTTCTACAAAATGGTAAAAATTTTAAGTGGTGCCACACAAATTGTTCACGTGATGATGGTAATGATTGTATTTATTAGGTGGTTATAACAACAGCGTTTTCCAAAGAATACAATTTTATATTTTTTTACATATGATGCAGCACACGTAACAAGAAATGTGCATCAAAGCTATACTACTTAATGGAAATAATCCAGCACTTGGGTTTTAAACACTAAAATAAGAATATTAATACATGGATATCAGAATGATATACATACGATTAAATCAAGTAATTGAATTGAACTAGTAGTTGCACAAGCCAGTCATGTCTCTTGACATGTGTGAAAATAAATCTATATGCATCCATTCCGAGAACGTGAGCGGAGTGGAAAGACTTTAGCGGGAGCAAAACCCACTCACATCTTGAAATAAATCATTTCTACTTGAATGTGGAATTGGCTACTCAGTCATTTTGATGCCAGGATATGGTTTAAGCTAAGATTAAAATACAATGCAGATTGTTTTCTTTTTTGGAGCGAGCGGTGAGCGATTTCATTGGAGCTGGGTGAAAACTAAATGGAGTGGGGAGCGATAATCAGCAAGGCCCGGTTTCTCGAAACGTTCTTAATGGTATGTCATTCGTAAGTTCTATCTTTTAACACAGAACTTACAAACAACGTAGCATTAAGAAGGTTTCGAGAAACCGGCCCTGCTCATTTTCACTCCCTGCTCCAGTCAGTTTTCACCCAGCTCCAAAGATATATCTCCCAGAGCGCTTTGCAGTGGCTGTGAGCGGGGGGAGCGCACCGCTCCGTGAACGATGATGAGCGGAAATTATCATGGATGCGTTCTGCTCACATGCTCTGCACCCGTCTATCATAAGCACTTTTCCAGTACAGGGTGAGGATGGGCCTCAACCGCCCTGCACACACAAACACACACCATCAAATACTACGCAAAGTATAAGGCTACAATGCTACCAAGAGCTACCTTCAGACTGGTTAATGTGACATTTTCTCTAAACAATGTCCCATGCCATCGGGTGCCACCAATCACAGGGCAAAGACAATCACACACCATGAACGTATTTAGAGACAAAGGTTTACCTAAACTTAATGTTCTTGAACTGCGAATAGAAACCAGAGAAGCCAAAGAAAATGGGGAGAGAATGAACGTGCCTCACAGAAAGAGCATGGAAATCAAATCCCTAAGAATAAATTACTTTTCAAAAAAAAATATATATAAATATTCATTTGGAATCGACTGTCATGAAGCCACCTATCAAAAAATACCACTGCTGGTGATTATGACTTGGAAATGTACAAACTTCTCTCATTTGCAATCATTGCTTTCCATTATTGTTATCATTATTAACCATCATTGACTATTTGCTTTCTTTACCGCAGTTTCAAAAAAAAAAATTTTAAGAAAGGAATTTCAAAGTGTATTTAGATCAGCACCAGTTAAAGCCCATTTGGAGCCTAACTTCAGAAACCCATTTTACTTTGTCTCAGACAGTGTGGCCTCTTGTTGCCTACTGGGTTGACCGACACCAATTTAATGACATTTGTTGTTCCTCTGTTGTACCCGTAAAAAAAAACTACTCACATCAATCATTTGTCGTTCTGATTTATAGTATTTTTCATATTGTGAAAAAGCCTACACTTTGTGAACACTGAAAATAAATATTTGGATATGAACAACCAGCAATTCTTGCAAAAGTCAGTGACATTTTCTTACACTCTTGATACAATTGCATTTTAAACTCTTTTTGCTATTTGAAAATTAGTTTTAACAGAAGATACAGCAATCCTGCGTGGGTGCACATCGCACGAAGCTCTTTTGATAAATCACAAATAAAAGGGACAAAGAAATGCTGGACATCAGAGCAATTAAACCCAAATCAAAAATGTTGCGAAAAACACAAAAATTCAAGCGCTCTTTAAGGGGAAAAAATATGAAGCACCATATGATAGCTGGAAACTGGACATATAAAACTGAATAGAGAGGTAAGGAGCATGCACTAATTACAGTGTGTAAGGAGCATGCACTAATTTCAGTGTGTTGCTACACCCACTACACCTCAGGGATGAGAACCTGAGTGCAGCCGTGTGGCAGGTGACACCTCAGCACCACACTAGTCCGAATTAACCAGTTTTTCCCAGTAGCTGGAGTGCCAACCCTGCCACCAACCCCCAAGTTTTTCCCTGTAAGTTGGAGGACTTCCTTATAGGACTGGATGTAGATTGTCGTCATACCCAGGATGAAGCATCCGCAGGTTAAGGACCTTGATCAAGGGCCCAATGGAGTAGAATCACTCAGGGAATTCACGGGACCTCAACCAGCAACCTTCCGATTGCTGGTACAGATCCCTAGCCTCAGAGCCAGATGCGTGAGAGCTTACAACCTTGCATTCCGTGTGAGTCTATCTTTCGGTGGCTAGCGATTCAGCATAACGCGAAATTAGGAACCACTTGCATTGCCGCGAAACACTATGAAAGCAGCCCAAAAACCCGTGACCTCCTAATATTTACCCGATACTGTATTTTCAAAATAGCTGAATTGATCAGGAAAACCCCGGACCTGGCAACTAGGAACAAAGTAGTGCGTTTTTTCCCTTAGGCCACTTAAAATTAATAAATTGTTTTACATGATTCAAACTTCTAAAATATTGGTGAGTAGGGGATTTTATATTGTTAGCGAAAAGACGAACGGCAACAGAGATACACTAAAACTAGAAAAGTTCTCAAACAGCTCGCGAAGGGTAATATTACTCGGTATATTGATGCTCTTTATTTTAATACCGTGGACCCACACACAATCTGACAAACGATAAAAACCATTGTCCGAGAAGCGTCAAATTGAAAAATCCGAGGCTGACATTCAAGATTTTTCACCCACAGTTTTTGAGGTGAAAAAACTGATTTTTTGAAAAATACAAAATATTAGAAAAATCGAGACGGCACCAAAAAATTGAGGCGGGCGGCCATGTAAAACAGTTTATTAATTTTAAGTGGCCTTAAACATTAAACAAATATTGATTGGCTGAAAAAAATCCTGCCCTCCATTGGTAGAAACCTCGTCATTTCTCTCCTTATTGGAGGATTTGCATGGGCGCCGAAAATCAAAATATACGCCCCCAGTAATTCAGGCGCCACTGACTTTATTAAGTTAATAGTATAATTGTACTATATCCATGACAAGAAACACCAAGTGAAGCGTGGAACTTCTAGTAAACCCTTTAACCACGTATATGTCAATACTGTTACTTCAGGAGCAAAACACCTAAATATATAGGAAAGTTACATATAAAACGTGATCATCCACAGATGCTTCCCGGTGCAGCAAATACATAATGTACATGTCCAAAACAACTCACACGAACATCCGCAAAATACCATACCATAGGCAACTCAAACGTTTATTACAAGCCTGATGGTATGGACGCACATATCAGTTACTTGAAATGTGTCAGGTCTAGATACAACTGCAATCCTATTTTCGCAACGTTAGACTTAGCTCTTTTGGAACAAAAGTAGGCGGCTCTTAAAAGAGCCTTTTGGTGGTTAACGAAAGTCTACGGCGCCAATTTACTTGGTCTTAGCCGGCTTCTCAGTCTTCTTGGGCAGCAGCACAGCCTGGATGTTGGGCAGCACGCCGCCCTGTGCGATAGTCACGCCGCCCAGCAGTTTGTTCAGCTCTTCGTCGTTACGAACGGCAAGCTGCAAGTGACGAGGAATAATGCGCGTCTTCTTGTTGTCGCGGGCAGCGTTACCAGCCAACTCCAGGATTTCAGCAGTGAGATACTCGAGCACAGCAGCCAAATAGACTGGAGCTCCAGCACCTACTCGTTCAGCGTAGTTACCTTTGCGGAGTAGTCTATGGACACGGCCAACAGGGAACTGCAAGCCAGCCCTGGAAGAGCGAGTCTTGGCCTTAGCCCGAGCTTTGCCACCAGTTTTGCCCCTACCGCTCATTTTGCTGCACTACACAGATAACTAAGAAATGACGATGCTTTACCCTCTGGGCTTCATCACTTATATGGCATACAGCCGTTTCATTGGCTACATGCATTCAAGGCAGAATATCCAATCAAAGTGAATAGACCGACCAAATGTTGAGCGGTGGCGCGGTGAAGCTGGAAGTTGATTTTTAGAAGAAAAAAAATGCTACGTATATACTGAGACTACGCATATTGGCTGGAACTCAAATATGTACAAAATACAGACATTTTGGTAAATTATTTCGTAAACGAAATAAATTCTGCGTTCTAACACACGGGAATGTGACAAACCGCTGGAATCGGAACAAAAACAACTGAGTTCTGAGTTCTACATTTCTAATTTGATACAGTTTAAAACACGCTGTACACATGCATTTTCAAAACAAAATCCATTAAAGGTGTCGCTATGTCAACGATAGATATAGAACGATTAGTAACTTCGTATACGCTTGCTTCATGAGGGGAATTTCTTCCCAGCATGCGAAAGTGTAGAAAGTACAGCTGTAATAGGACCAAAAAGTTAACAGTCGTGGGTATATAGATGTATATTCAGACTAAGTACGATGCATTTTTGAAGACGTGCAGTCATGGGGGTAATAGAATACACATTTTATGTTATTCATGTATCTATTTATCACCAATTGCTAAATAAACAGTACTGTTCTGTAATTTACAACCCATCTAAATGATGCCCCTTTATATACAATGTTACTACTTCATGCACTTGGAGCTTTACGTTTTGGACCAAACGTCTCATAATATGGCACTTATGCGAAGTCACACGTGTAACTAAGTTTATGATAAATATCTAGTAACTTCGTATATGCATGCAACATAAACATAACCTTTTCCGTTTAAAGGCAGGTTAAAGTGTACATACTACAGCTTTAATGGGAACAAATAACGGTCGTGTATCATATTTGTGTCAAACTGACTACGATACATCTTTGGAGCAGGAAAAGCTTGCTTAGGTGAAATATAATTTAAAGAAGACAATGCTCTGTCTCTGAGATCAGTGGGTGGCTCTTAAAAGAGCCTTTGTTCTCCAAGGTCTGGAAGTCAGCGCCTGTTCCTTCACTTCTTCTTGGGAGCGGATTTTTTGGCTTTGGTAGCCTTGGGTTTAGCGACTTTAGGCTTGGCTGCCTTGGCTTTCTTTGGGCTCTTGGTGGCCTTCTTTGCTGCCGCCGGCTTTTTCGCCTTCTTGGGACTCTTGGTCGCCTTCTTGGCTACGGCCGGCTTCTTTGCCTTCTTGGGAGACTTTTTGGCGGCCGCCGGCTTCTTCGCTGCTGAGGCCGCCGCCTTCTTGGGCTTCTTCGCCGCTGCGGGTTTCTTTGCTGCTGGCTTCTTGGCCTTAGGAGCGGCTTTCTTCGCGGGCTTCTTGACGGTTTCGCTCGGCTTCTTGTTCAGCTTGAAGGAGCCAGAGGCGCCGGTTCCCTTGGTCTGAACCAGAGTCCCTTTGGTCACCAGAGCCTTAATCGCTAGCTTTACGCGGGAGTTGTTCTTCTCCACGTCGTAGCCGCCGGCTGCCAGAGCCTTCTTCAGAGCGGCAAGAGACACGCCGCCCCTTTCTTTGGAAGCGGACACAGCCTTCACAATCAGCTCCCCGACACTGGGACCTGATTTCTTAGGCTTAGGTGCCGCTTTCTTCTTGGGTGCCTTGGCCGGAGCGGCTGCGGGAGCCGGAGCGACTTCTGCCATTTTCCTATAACTCACTTTCGGATGTGCCACACAGTCAGCGAGGCTGGTCTGTTCGTACTGGTGCGTCACGGTGGGTCCTCCTTAAACTCGCCATGAGAACCATGTAGACTCAACCTACACGGCCCTGTCTGTGCAGAGCGCGCGACGCCGCTTTCACTTGTGCTTTCTTCTCGCACAAAACTTCGCTAAAATCAGCCGAAGAGATGTATTAATGTCTGCTAATGAATGTGGCCTTAAAACAAGATCCTTCCATTTAAAAGTGAGCCGTATTTTTTGCAGAGAAGGGACTGATTATTACTTGAATTCCTCAAAAAGTTTACTCTCAATGTGAAGGCTGTCCAAAGTTCATGGCTTTTGCCTTCATTTCAGGGAAAAAAACACATTAAAATATTACAACTAAAGACCATCTTCGAGGTAGCGGTTTATAGCAAGGCCAATTGCATTGAAATAAGGTGGTAGTGTTCCAGTAAAGTCATCTAGTGATTTTTCAATCGGACCAAACTTGAGTTCATTAAAGCACATTTAAAATATCTATGCTATTGATAGTAGAGATTATTTATTATCAGGCTAAAGCATAAATGAATCAATGACATAACACAAAGGACATAGAACATACAAAAATGGAATACGTCTTAATGATTAGGTGCCAACATAATTATACAAATACCCAGGAGGTATAAATCGCTTCTCTAAATAGGCAGCACTCTTTCCCTTAATCACAGGTAACTCCCGATGAATGCTTAATGCTCTTATTTGGAGCACTAAAGACAGTCATTTACAAGTACGTAGCTTATTTCATCATTATACACTCAGTCTAACGTCTCAATCAGTCGTGTTTCAATGTTGCATATGAATGTCCCGTCTGTATCGCGAATAGAAAAATAAAGCACTATATCAACCAACAGACAGGACTGTACGTAATGAGGAAAACTATGGAAATTAAGGATTGATACGCCAGCACATTTCAATCCACGCTGAATCCCGCCCGTCACTATGAGATACTTTAATGCTTTAGCTGGTAGTAGTAAATGAACGACAGTTGAAAGATAAAAATGCAGCCTATATTACAAATAGAAATTTCGCTTCTTTGACTTTGTGGGCGGCTCTTAAAAGAGCCTTTGGTTTCCTTTTGCAAAGCGGCAGAGGCTTTACTTAGAGCTGGTGTACTTGGTGACCGCCTTGGTCCCCTCAGACACGGCGTGCTTGGCCAGCTCGCCAGGAAGCAGAAGGCGCACGGCTGTCTGGATCTCCCTGGAAGTGATGGTGGAGCGCTTGTTGTAGTG